TGAGCCCAGGAGTCAGTTGTAGAGGCACGGGACACCCACAATGCCTTGGGCTCTTAAACGTCAGCCTATGCCAACACTCCTCTGGATCAGTGTTGGAAAATGGACCCAAATAGACTGGGTGAACTTGGATTGCGGCTTCCCCCTGCAAGCCTTAGAGGTTCTTCGGATGCCTCTGTCCTCTGCCCTCGCTCTCCTGTTCCTCTGGGTGCCAGAGCTGGGCTCTGGCTGGGAACCAGGATGGAATATTGAGTAGCCAGAGGCTGACCCAGCCTGGCCCCTTCCATATCCCACACCGAGGAGACTGGTGAGGTCTGAAAGGAAGGCAGAGGGCTGTAGTATGTTCTTGGAATTGAACAGAGCAGCCTGTCTGTGTTAATTCTGCAGGAAACCAGTCACCCAGAAAACAGATCTGACTGGCTGCAAGTATGGAAGTCTTGGGCACATTGGTTCTCTGCGCCCTTAACCTCAGCCAGACTTGTTCTGGGTCTAGATGCTGACGAATACACTTAGTGAACCCCACTTGAGTGGCTTTCTGTAGCCTGTATGCCTCGCCGCCTGGTGCTCACCAGTGACTCTGAAGGTAGCAGCCTCATTCACATCTGTTAAGCACCCTCCTAAGTTATACTGGATGCTCAGCTTCCTAGAGTGACTCTTCTCCCGACCCACCCACCGCCGGCAAAAAAAAAAAGTGACATTGTAGTCTCTGATGATGCCTCAGGATGAGGAAACAGGCTCACAGGCTGCATCCCAAGAGGGAGTTCTGGTTCAAATCCAGGCTTGTCTGGCTCCAAATGGACCCACTGAGCCTGAGGGCACAGTTATTTATGCACAGGTCCCTGCCTCATAAGGCTTAGGATAAGACACCAGTGCACCTATGCAGACGGAGGCTGTTCTTAGTGGCCTAGATAATGTGTACCATGGTTTGCAACATCAGACCATGTAAATACACACCATCATTAATTGATGTTCCTTCTCCCCCTTTGAAGCCAGGGCATGTAACTCTTCATGAGGAGAATCTGCCCCCTGGGCTCGCAGATCTCAGCTGGGGGACCCCATTGCATGCTTGCTTCTGTCCTCATTTTTAGCTTTCTCCATGCTTTTGGCTGTGCAGCAGCTTCCCGTCCTCTCTGGCCTCTGGAGAATGCAGATCACTCCATGAGCTGGTTTTGCGTTCCATTACCGCTCAGTTGGAAAGTGAAGGCACCATCTTCTTGCACAGACACTTAAGAGATGACACATCTCCAAGGGAACCAAAGGGGTAGACTGTCCTCTGCAGGTTATATGGGTGTCCGTGTGGAGCAGGCTGTCTCACGCATGACCGTGTCCTTGTCAGTTTCTAGCCAGAGTGTAACGAGGGCCCCAGGCTTCCCCCTAGGGGCTGCAGAAGCTGTGCTCTGCAATGAAGACTACATGAGAAGTTTCTGGAGGGTCCATCTTCACTTCAAAGATAGGGGGTCCACCTCCTTTTATTGTATCACTCTTGTTGGTGATGTCTTCACTTATATTGCTTCCCCCTCTTCAAAACAGCAGACTGTTTTCTTCTCCTCCAGTACCCAGAGATGAAAGTCTTTGAGTACACCAGCATTTCCAACAGCTATATGATGCTTGGTCTGGGCGGTGTGTGAAGAAACATGGACCTCAACAGCTTTCAGTCATCATCAGGAAGATATTCAAACTGCAGGCTGTAAAGTTTAGAAGTCCAGACTTTTGTCGACTCTGTGAAACTGCTTCCCTGGCACAGAGCATTGGTTAATGGGAAAGGACTTGAGTCTCTGGGTTGGCAAACCTCACTAGACCATCCCTAGAAAGCAAGAGATGACATACACTTGCATTCACTGTCCCTTGCACTGAGTTGGATGTGTAGGTACCATTTATTGAGCACGAAGAATATGGGATGGTGGGTAGACGGATAGATTAGCAGATGGACAGAGGATAAATGGATAAATAGTGGGACAGAAAGAGGAAATGATGGGGCAGGGTGGAGGAAAAAGGAGAAGGGAGGGGTTAATAGATAACGGACTGCCTAGGTACATGGCTAGATGGAAAGGCAGTGCATGGTAAATGGATGGGTAGAAGAGGGAGGGGGATGGATAGTCTGTTGGGCATATGGATGGATGGGATGAATGGATGCAAGGGAGAATGGACTGATGAGCGTATGGATGGATGGTTGAGTGGGTGGTGGACGTGGATGGATCGGTAAATGGTAGGTAGATGAATGGTAGCAGATGGATGGGTGGATGGGTGTGCCAGTGAGTAGATGTGTGGGTGTGGATGTGTATGGGTTAGATGGATAAATGGTGAATGAATGGATGGGGGGATGGACCGATAGATGGGTAGATGGATGGATGGGCGGGTGGATGAATCAATATGTAGACAGACTGAGACACCAAGTACAGAGAGGCAAGTGACTCATAGCAGGACTCTTAGAAAGGCAGAGCCGGGGTCAGAAGCTGCAGCTTCCCGCCTGCTTGCTGTCGTGACCACAAGCACCTGGCACTGATGCCACAGTTTCCTCATGGTCCAGGCACTGTTGGTAACAGACTGAGACCAACCCCAGATGAAGCTTTGAGTTGACCTAGCCCTGAGGTCCTCCTCTCCCTCACCCCTTGAGAATGCACAGAGCACCCTGCCATGCCTGGAGGAGACTGCTGCACCGTGTCAACCTCTCCACATGACGGGCATCATTTTAGCCCTTGTCCCTCAAAAGAGGACACTGGAACTCAGAGAACACCAGCCATTTGGTTCTTGACCTTCTGCAATGACAGAGTTGAGGCCAGGGTCCAGCCTTCATATTCACAGACCAACTTTAACTGCACAGCAGCACACGAGGACAGAACTTCAGCCTCCCTCCAACTGCAGCTGACCCCAAAGCCAAACCCCAGCATAATCTGGCAGTAGACAGAGCACAAGCCTGGGAAGAGCGGGACCATGCGTGGTGTTAAGCGTGTCACAGCCTTGCCTCCTCACACCTCAGTTTACTCTTCTGTGAGATGGGTCTGCTGACGGGGAAGCTCTTCACCTCCTCACTGCTTTTCTTCTAGCTCTGTCCCCAGTCAGCGCTTCCTGCTGTCGACATCATCCTCCTGACACTCTCAACACCACATCTTCAGGTTACTGAATTTCGGCCCTTTGCAGAATTTCGGCACAAACGGAGCTAGTCGCCAGCCACCGTGGGTTGATAGTCCACAGCACTGCTGTATCTGCACAGGTTCATGATAGACACTCCCCACCCTTCCTAAATGGTGACTGCAAAGATGGACTTCTAGTGGCCTGCTGGGAGTGACGAGGCCACGAAGTGCCAGGGGGAGCCACCAAGTCACAGCCTAGAGTCAGCCGCCTTGTTGCTGGGAAGGATCACGTGTGGGGACAAGGGTCTGATTCTCGACTCCGGTCTGATCTTGAATTTATCGCATCCGGACGCTTCCCAATGACCCTCTGTAAGGGTCCAATAGAGATGCTGATCGTAATGATTGCTGCTGGTGACTATAGAACTGAAACAGACAGACCACACCCAGGCACAGAGTCTGGCAAGCGGTGGGCACTGGCAGCCTTCCTACTCCGGCCTCCGAGGAGGAAGCCGGCACTTGTGTCTCCTTTATTACTCTTTCCACTCCGTTTTCCTGTGTTTCTACGGTATGCTTCTGTTCTCCGGGAGCCACTGACCCACCCGCCGCTGCTAGTCCTGTGCAAACCCTGAGAGTGAGGGGGTGGGGTGGGCCACTCCCTTCAGCTGCTGTCCCTTGGGTTCAAAGGCAGGACAGCATCCTGGGGTTCCCTCAGAGGAGGAACCAGGCCTTCTTTGTGCCTGCCTCAACCTCCCACTTTCTGAAACCCACATGGCTTTCCTGTCTGGAGAGCCCTGGTGAGCATGGAGGAAATAGGGTGGTCTCCATCACCTTAAACCTGGTAGAGTCTGGGCCTCAAGTGGATGTCTGTCCAGGAGCATCCGAAGAGAGAGTGTGGAGGGGCTTCTGGAGCCAGGACCAGAATTCTCCCTCCTCTCAGCTCTCCTCCCTCCTCCAGTGCTCCCCTCCCCCACCCCCACTTCTTTTTTTAGGGATTCCCAGCTCCTCCACTCTGCTAAAGGCATTTTCCCCCCAATTGCTACAACCTTCTCTCCATCTGCTCCCTGCCTGTGCAGTGTGGCAAGGTGGGATGGGGGAGGGGAGGGGAGGGCTTTTAACTTGGGGTGAGGGGCCTGGAAAGCCAGCTGGGTCTGTGAAACAGCAGAACAAGGAGGTCGGTCTCCCTTGGTGAGAGGCATCTCCCACCTGGCCCCTGGCCAATTCCTGGCTACAAGTGGCTGCTTGTCTCCTCTATTTGTGGAAGAAAAGCACATTGCGAGAGAATCTGAACCGGACAGCCTGAGGATGGACCTGAACCCAAAGCTCTCATTGTGGGCCCTGGGGAGGCCGGGCTCAGGCCCTAGAAGCCTGGAGGATCTTCTGGACCCTGTTGGGAGTGAGAACAATGTAGCAGATGGAGCTGGGCTCCTAACATGGGTGGTGGGTCTACACCTAATAGTCTGTGGCTGGGCGTCCCCAAGGTGGAGAGGTGCTTAGTATCAGACAGGCTTCCGTGGTCCTGTGTATTGGTTCAGCGAGGTCCCTGTATGCAGCGGATGTGACCTCCTAGGATACTGGGACTCTCTGTGAAAGCACCAGGACATTGGGCCGTTGGGGCCCTTAGGGGCCAAAAAGAGGGCTCTGCAGTAGAGAGAGAGGCCAGGTTGCTGGCCGACTGACTGGGTTTGCAAGGACACATCGGGCACTCTTCCTTCTTGTCTGGCTGCCCCAGCATCCGCGGAGAGAGAGGAGACCCTAGGCCCACCCGGGACACGCGGCGATATCACCAACTTCTCAGGGCCCGAGGGCCAGGCTGCCTCGGGAGCGGCCCTCGGCCGCCTCCTCGCGCTCACTCCCCCTTGCTCGCTTGCTAGCTCTCTCTCCTGCTCCCTCTCTCGCTCGCTCGAGCCCCAGCCCCCGCCCTCCGCTCGCTCGCCACCCGCGGCTCCTCCTCACTCGCCCGTCGCCCGCGCCCGGTGCAGCTCTACCGGAGCCACCGCAGGCTGCGCGTCCGCCAGGAGCCGCTGCCTCGACCCTAGTGCTCGGATCGTTCTACCCGGATTCCTCTGCTCGGACCGCTGCACCGATCCCTCTGCCTCGCTCCGGAACCCGGCTGCTCGGAGCCTTCTGCTCGGATCCCTCTGCTTGGACCGCGCTGCCAGAATCCTGCCGAGATCCTTCTGCTTGGATCCCACTGCCGGGATCCTTCTGTCTGAATCCCACTGTCCGGATCCTTCTCTCTAGACCCCGCTTCTCTATCCTTCTGCCTGGACCTCGCCACGCGGATCCCGGCTCCGCAGCCACGATGCCCGTGGCACGGCCACCCGCCACGGGACCAGGCAGGATCTCTCTGCTTCTGGTCGCCCTGCTTCTGGGGAGCCCCGCGGCAGCTCGGGCGGAAGGTAAGTACCCCAGGGCCCTGGCCCAGAAGGGGCAAAGTTGTCGCGGCTGACCTAGGCGGTAGGGGGTCACAGCTGGTCCGAGGACACACGCGCCACCCGCCGGGCCGTCCGGATTTGGGGCTAATCACCTCGTCCCTGCCAGAGTGCGGAGGTGGGGACACATCTGAAGGACTACCGCCTTGGGCTTCAGGTCCTTCATCGGTCTATCAGGCTGGGGACAGACTCCCCTTTGTAGTCCAGAGGAGATCCTTGGAGTGGGGCTCTCGCCAAACCTTTAGATTCTGGAAGCTCTCTGTAACTGCACCCGGGGCTGGCTGCCAGGTTATTTTGTTGCTCTCTGTGGAAAAGAATAGGTATGGGAAAGGAACTGCTGACTACTTGTCACAGAACCAAATTCCCTCCCATCCCACCATCCCACGCTCGTTCCGGCTACCAAGAGGGGCTGTCCCCTGGATGGGTCCCAGCCAGGTGTCAAGAAATTGGACTTGGGTGTGGCTTTCTTGTATGGTGGGGAGCTCAGGACTGCCAGAACTTGCTGAGAAAAGAGATGGATGTCAGGATATCAGTGGCTGGGCCCTTTCTCTCCCAGATACAGCCTCGCCCCCCTCATCGATATTTGGAATGAAGAGGGGGAGTGCTAGCGCAACCCACGTGCTTGCTGATTAGGAAGGGGGTCTGAGTTTGTGGAGGTTATCAGTCCCTGAGCCTACCTGGAGCCTCACCTTTGCTCCACCCCGCTGGGGCCCCAGGAAGTGAGACGCTGAGGAGTGAGTAATCTGATTCATCCATCGCTGACCCCCAGGGCTGTGGGGATGGGCTGAAAACACTGAGAGAGCCTAGTGTGTCGGGCTAATGGGTTGGACCACTTAACCTCTCCCTCTCTTGGCAAGGTGTGACTCTTGTTTGCTCCCGTGACAACTTAAAAAGCATAGCTGGTATGTCTACCTGACCCGACCACAGCATGGGATGCTCACTCTGTCCATCTGGAGTGGGTGTCACTCTGCGCATTTGGAGGGCCGTTTCATTTGGGTCTTCTTGATCTGGAGTTCAGGGAACAGACATGAGTTGAGACGTCTCAGCAGGGAATTCTGGATCTCTGTGTTCAGCACCAAAGTCTCCGGACAGCTCTCAGCTCCAGGCCCTACCTAGTGGGTCCTGTTGTCTTTCTTCCTTGTGGCCTGGAGTGCCCTCCTCAGAAAACATCAGGCATTTTATCCCATCTCTTTTCTTTAGCTGTTGGGCCCAGAAGTGAGAGCAGGGACATGCTTTGCCCTTCTTTATTTAACAAAACATATTCTTAAGAACCCTTCTCTCTGGTTTTGTGAGGCTGTGGTATTTCCAATTTACACCAGGTCTGGGCAGTTTCCCTGCAAAAGACGGGAAAGAGATTCGGTTGAAATCAATGGTTTCTACCCAGCATGCCCTTTCTTAATTAACTGCCTCTTTCCAACAATAGCGTGGTGGCCTTGAGTGGGATCCAGATTGCCCTGCCCCTGTTCTGTACACACACACACACACACACACACACACACACACACACACACACGACACACACTCCACAAGCAGAACAATTCAAAGATGTCCAGGGGCTTGCCATCTTTTTCTAAAGTCTTTCTATGTCTCAGTTCTGCTTCCTCTAAAGCACCACCTTGGGCATGGGGTGTGTGGTCCTAATGGCATGTACAGAAATGTCACCCAAGATTGGGAGTCCACATGCTGATTCCTCAGTGTGTGTCAGTATATAGAAGGAAGAGCAGGGTGTGTGTGAGCTTGTGTTTTGAATTTCTGAGACATTTTGTGTGTTTCCAATCGCTCCACACCATGGCTACTGAGCATGCATTTTTAATTAACTTCAGGTCACCACCAAATCAAAGTCCACTGATACACTTCTTCCAAGGGCTCATTACTAACCATGGGGTTCTGGCTGAGTCATAAGAAGGGAGCCAGGGTGGCCCACAGGCACTGCCAGTTCCAAATGATCCATTTGGAAACAATTGATCTCCCACAATAAATTCTATTTTTAACCTGCAGCTCAAAGCCACTCAAACCAGATAGGAGAGGTGCCGGAGGAGCCCACATTGCAGACTGGAGTTTCTGCTTGCCCGTGAGGGGTGGGGACTTGTTGCAGTGTTCCCATGCAGGGCTCCCAATCTGTGGGATGCCTTGCTGGGAGGCAGGAATAAATATAAAGTGTAGCTTGTTTTTGAAGAGGACCCTTGTCGTCCAAGATACCCATGTGGGGAGTAATTGCACATTCACGTTAAGAGTGAGTCTGCTTTTCTTTTTCCCTTGGTTTAACAAAGTGAATTCAATATTGCTCATCAAGACTCTAACTTGCTGCCCCCCCAGACTCTGACATGTGTCGCTGCTACATTCCCCTTAACTGTGTTTTGCTATGAATTGCTGCCCCTTTTTTCCAAGGAGTTTTGGCTGCCCACACAAGGGACTACCTGATCCAAACTTGAAGGATTCTTCTTTTATTCACACAGCTCTGCTGGGCGCTGGGAAACAAATACCAGCCTCCTTTTTTTTCTGCTCCGAGGGGAAAGGATGTTTCCTGGACAGAGCTGTTTGGTTCATGACTTTTGGTCAAGAGTCCATTCTTGCAAGGAATTCAAAGGAGCGCAGTGTACAGTATACGGGCTCTGCGGCTTGGGGGTTGACTGCTGCTGTGGGTCTGTACTGTGTACCTCCACTAGGGGCTCTCAAAGCCACAGCTGGTGACTGGGAGCAGGAAAGAGGCAGATTTGGTTAGGAAGAAAGAAGCCAGTGTGTGTGTGTGTGTGTGTGTGTGTGTGTGTGTGTGTGTGTGTGTGTGTGTGATGTTGACACTTAGGATGGCTTCTTAGCCTAGTGGTGGCCTGGCCTTCGGCTCCGCTCCCTTCTTCTGAGTGTATTTGGTCCCAGTTTCTCAGGGAGAAATCACTGTCAGCGTTTGGCACACAGTGAACAGGAGAAAGCAGAGATGAGAAACCGGCAGAAGGATGCTGTTCCCAGAAAGGTACCATTAGAACTCAGACCCCAGCTGGCCCTTTTCTGCCAGTGTCCCAAATCCATTATAGAGGCAAGGCTGTTTCTGGAGAGTGGCTGGGCTGAATTTGGGAAGCAGGTTAACGGGGTCCAGGAAAAGTGGCTTTAAAATTGGAGCTGCCCCTGCCCAAAGGTCACTCCACTGCTTAGGTGTGCTTGACCTTCAAGGCTATCGTCTTGTCTGGGACTCCATTCTGCCACCTGTGGAGCATAAACGTAAGCAGGAGTGATGGGACTAATCCGGAAGGGTGGTTGTAGGATTCTGTGACTGTGTGAAAGGAGCTAGCACATGTGAGGCATGCAGGCAAGGCTGAGCAGTCTTCCTGCGCAAACTTCCTTTATGAACAGGCGCCAAGAAGGCAGTCTCTTGAAGTTCGGGGAAGGTGATTTAGGCCAAAGTGGGGGAGGAGGGCCAACAGGCAGCCCTTGTTGCCTGTCCCCTGCCTTTTTATAAAGCAAGAGAGAACTCAGTAGCACGTGATGTAGACAGCTTTCCTTCCCAGATCCTCATACTGCTTGGCTTTGAAACCCACCACCAGGAATCAGAGTTCACAGCCAACAGCAATGAAACATGACGTAGGGGAACGAAGACGCAAGAGAGCCATCTAGGAAAAGGCTCAGTTCCATGCTCCTAGCAAACCACTGTAACAAAAATGCCTTAGATCACAGGATGAGAAATGTAGTAGTTCATTAATCACAGTCATGGTGTCCAGAAGTCCAAGTTCACAGAATCCGCAGAGTTGGTGTCTGGTAAGGAATGTCCACTTGCTGGCTGAATTCTTACTCTCACGTGGTTACAAAAGACAGTGAGATCTGGTGACCTTACCTTCCAAGGGCCATCAGCACATCTTGGGGCTCATCCCATTAGGTCTCATCTCAACTCGATTACTTTCCAAAACCTGTACCTCTGAGTGTCATCTCATTAGGAATGGGGGGTTAGACGTATGGATAGGGAGGGACATGGAGAATGCTTGTGGCTCAGTGCTCATGTCCTGAGCACTACCTCTTGTCCAGTATCTGCACCCCAGCACAAGAGATCCACGGGTTTGGGTTGTCAGCTCAGTGCTTTGGTGGAGGGATAGGTCACTGTAGACTGTGACAGGTGGCCATATGCAGACAGTTCTCGCTGGTCCTGATGGGTGAAGCCTTGCTGAGCAGGGAGCACTGGGGCTGACCCTGGAGGGATGCAGCAAGCGCCAAGAATAGAATTCTACATCAGGCATGGAACCCCTGAAGCAAGCAGCAGCCAGCAGGAGGAGAATGGAGACAGATGTACTTGCTGGTCCTCAACTCAAAACTATAAACCTGCTGTTCTTCCTGCACCCCCAGACCTCAGGAGCTGTCTAGATGAAACACAACAAAAGACAATGAGTCATGGTGTTCACCGTCCTTCACTCCAGATGGAGAGGGGTCTCTTCATAAAGGAGCAGGGTTCAGTTGCCAAGGACATACTAGTCCCCTTGCAGTGTTCCACTGGTATGTACGTGAAAGCAGCTCTTAGGTGTCTGTGACAGTAACACAGAGTAAATATGTTGGCTTTGGGGTGGGGACTTAGAACAGGGGGGGTGGTGTACCTCTGCAGACTTGTGTGGACAATGTTAACTATAGCAGAGTAGTCCGTGAAGATCATGTAGGGAGTCCTCACCATAAAACCTACCACACAGAAATGCTTGTCATTCCTGCTGTGCAGATAAGGGAAACTGAGTCACGGAGAGAAGAGGATCACAGATGAGTTGCCTGTATGCTACTCTCTTTTTTTATATTTTATTTTCCAGTTTAAATTTAGATAAGAAACGAGGTTGCTTCACAAGTCAGTTCCAGGTCCCTCTCCCATTCCCTCCCCTCCTCCCATGCCCTCCCCCCAACCCCCCCCCCCCCCCGTTATCCCCTCATTCCCCCAGGGAGGGTGAGGCCCTCCATGGGGGTGTCCATAGTCTGTCATTTCATATAGGGCAGGGCCTAGACCCTTC